TGAAATTAAAAAACATCCAAATTTCAATAGAGATGATGGATGGGTGCTGCCACCTGCTTGGGATCCTATAATTAACAAAATTAAACCCAAACCTAACTATACTACTGCAAGACTTCATGATACTATAAGCTCGTTTTGCGTAAATCGGACCAAAAATTAATATTCAAAAACTGAAGGTAGCCGGACTAACTATGACATTGAGACGTCAAACATCTCAGTCCGCCCCGTGACCATGGGTGCTGTAAAGCACCCGAAACGTCGGGAATTAAAAATAAGTAAAAGTAGTGAAATAAACGCGATAAAATCCGTGAATTTAGTTTTATTCAATGTGTAGTGTTCGCGTAAATTTAAGAAATCATTATGATAACGCAAACCGTTTGGTTGTCTAATGGTGAAGGAAAGAGAGAGGAATAAGCTATGCAATCCCTGTGCACACTTACCGAATTGTTTCTAAAAATCTCTCCCTACAAGTAACACAAGCTTAATCAGTCTGTTCGTCTTAGTAAATAAGAGTGACAACCAGATTAAAATTAATAGTTGTCACTCTAGTTCCAGTATTGTGTTTTTATGTCGTTCACTTGATGGTAAGTGGCTTTGTCGAAGTTGGTAAATTAAAAAAAAAATAAGGCCACATATTCGTTGCAAATTTCGAGAACTAAAATTATTACTTATTTTAATTTTCATCAAACTGTTAGAAAATCTGTTAGATTTTGTAAGAAAATAGATCTAAGGTGTTTGATTATAGCTAACTGTAGAATTTCGCTTAAAATGTTGGCCTCGAAATGATTTAATTTCCGAGTACTACCTACAACTTGCTAACACTAAAACCACAAGGCTCATTCCATTATACAATACAAGATGGTGTGTATCTGATGAAATCAATAACATTTTACTCATTCTGATAAAAGAGCCGAACAGAGCAGGCTACGATTTATCGCAAAACAGTTACAAAGTATGTCTTATATTTCTCTCTTTCTTTATAGCCTATCAATACTCTACTGATTTTGACAACTGGAAAGTGTAGGCCGCATTTGCAATAGTTACTTTGCAGGTGGGTCGTCAACCGTAGTTATTTATTACTTTGACTTGTTATCAGGAAGATGCCACTGCCCATTTTCTTTTTCAGTTTTCCTCTGTTACCTCTTACAATTCCCTCGGAATGACATAGGGTTGCGGATATTCTTTCAATGCTACCATACGGCGTAGTATGCATCATACCCATTTTGGTAGGCGACAATGAAGGAGTTTTCAAATTTACAAAGAACTTTCTTTCTTAAAAGAAAGTTATCCCCACACTAGGATTTGCTGTATCGTCGAGGAAGTTTACATACATAAATTGTACATAGACAAACATCCAGACTCTGAACAATTATTTCTAGGTCATACAAATATTTGTACCGTGTGGTATTTGAATCCGCAGGTCTCAGCACTGCACAACTTAATACTTACCAACTACGTCGCGGATTCGTCAAGTTTAAGAGGAATCTGAATATTACGATTAGATATAAAATGTAAATTCTTAGAAACTTCAAACCGGATTCGATCCATTTTTCAAACATTTTTGTATTAATTATTTTTAGATGAATAATGCATAAACTTAATTTAAGAAAACCGTAAATTCTGAACGTGTGGGAAAGTAATAATATTTTCGAAATTTCATTTTTTTTTTGGCGAAAGCTTGACAGGTAAATAAATTTTATATCACCAATTGGGTTCCAGTACAAATCAAGAGGCGTATTCTAATATTTTTATAAAATATGTAAAGCAAGTAAAGAATTAGGTTTGAAACGGAAACTGAACAGAAATCATTGATTTTTATATAACGGCTATTGGACATGTCAGAATTTTTTAGCTTTCGATAGATGGCGGTATATTAAATATATTACTCCGGTCAAAAAATATCCAGACCGGTGACAGACAGCAGCGTAACATGTGTGAAATGTGTGGTACTGCTATTGGCATTCCATCTCCCAAGCTTGACGTCCCCTACAACGGGAGAGGCGTGCGACATGAGTCTAGCGGTGGGGTTTTACGACCTGATAAAGAAGATTTCAATTTTATAATTAATACAAGAAACTATTAGGTACAAATATTTTTTCCTCTATATCCCTTATATTAGAAAGAAAAGTAAAACGGTATTTAGATTATAATGATTCTTTATACGAACACTACATTGATTTTACTTCTATCCCCCCCACCCCCGTGACCTAGGGTGCTGTAAAGCACGCGAAATGTGGGTAATTAAAATTAAGTAAACTAAAAACGATTAAATATGTTTTTAGATTTTTATAAGCACTAAATAGCGCATTTTAAATGTCTTAAATAATTTCGAATTTTGACAACATAAATCTTTTTTAATACGCTTTAAGTTCGCTTGTATCCTTAAACGTAATTTTTACGAACTTTTAGACGGTCGATTGATTTGATAATTCTCTTGTATCAAGGATCGATAACAATACAGTAATTTAATGACTATGACATCGTGTTCTCACTAGGACAATCACAACTCATGATCAATACGTGTTAAGTTTTCTTTAACTCTAATATTATTGGTATTTAAGCTAATTTTTAAGGTGATGAATCTGACCTAAAAATTTGAAAAAGAAGAAAAATAACGAATCATGATAGTGTTATTCAAACCTTAGATAAACTTAGGTCAAACAAAAAGATCCATAAAAACCCGCGTGAAAGAACATATAGCTGACGTGAAGCACCGACGCTCCGGGAAGTCTGCAGTCTGCGAACATGTTCAAGATCGTCCCCACCATTACATCAGATTTGATAAACCACAAATCCTCGCAAAAGAACACAGATTCCTACTAAGGATGATACGCGAGGCTATAAAAAAACATCCTAATTTCAATAGAGAAGATGGATTGGTGCTGCCATCTGCTTGGGACCCTATAATTAACAAAATTAAACCCAAACCCAAGCATACCACTGCAAGACTTCATGATACTGTAAGCTCGTTTTGCGTAAATCGGACCAAAAATTAATATTCAAAAACTGAAGGTAGCCGGGCTAACAATGACATTGGGACGTCAAACATCTCAGTCCCCCCCGTGACCATGGGTACTGTAAGGCACCCGGAAACGTCGAGAATTAAAAATACGTAAAAGTAATTAATTAAACGCGATAGAATCCGTAAATTTAGTTTTATTCAATCTTAGATAAACTTAGTAAAAAGCTCGTGGCTTTATTACCAAATTATAAAATTAGTTTTTATACAACACCATATTTTTTTAAATATAAGCGTCACGTAGTGTTATTATATTATTATACACAGAATGATCTCAAATTGTTATATTTTTAAACTTAACTCTTACTTAACAAAATTATCCTCACTAAACACTTGTGACAGACAGAGTCCGAGATATTACATCTAATATCTCGGACTCTGTCTGTCACAAGTGAAAAAATACCTAAATAATTATTAATGTTTAGTAGTCCTCTCTATGGAACCTTAAGAATAATATTTTTTCAACTGAAACCATCCATAATATTGGTGATGATCTTTTAAGGAATAGCGTGGTGAAATGACAGACGTCAGAATGTCAGCGATAAGCTTATAATAATAATTGATTCTGACTAAAGAACCAATACGTATTCTATTACAAATATATGTAGTGGAAGTTCTATATTGATTTCACGCTGACCGCTAAATTACATGCTTGACAACAAATATAGTGAAAAAACTAAGTATGTAAATACTACTGAGTAATACATATTATGATGTTTCCTAATAATCAGTGACGTATATTAATTTCATAAATTAATAATATTTTATGTACCTATACTCGTAACCTATACATATGCAGAAAGATCTGGTAATCTTGAACTTCGTATTTGATATATTTTTCCGAGTTTACATTAGAAGAAATAAATAGTAAAAATATTTACATAAAAACAAATTGCAGTTTTTTAGTATTGTTGTCAGTTGTAGCCAGAAAGAATATCGATCTATATCGAATATCGGAAGAACATCGAGGATGTACATGTATGATGTAAATATCTAACGATAGTATTTTAAAACGACTAAGCAGACAAAATAATTCGAGGCTTCTGTCATTATTGGAGCACTTCATTGCTGCCACTAATATTTAACCTATCCAGATATACAAAATCGCATTACTTTTACCACAAAATCCAAAAGCAGCCATCCGCTTGCGGTCAAGTTTCCGCTAAAAATCTCTATTGAGTTTAATTTAAAATACCCGCAAGATATTTAATGTGCTAGATTTTTTTAGAATCTTAGAACTGATACTGTGCCAGATTTATAGTTCTTTAGTATCATAAAACATACCTGCAGTAAAAATGAGTTTCACTTGTGAATGAGAAAATTATTGTTACTTATTATACTGATGATGAGACATTCTATATTTATCACCGGGGTAATAACGGTGTCTAAGAACCACAGCTTTCACTTGCCATAAGGTAGACTTTGTGCTAGTTTGTCTTTCTCACTTAAAGTCTAAAAGAGATCAGTACGAATCTATTATATATTTAATTAATTTGAGTATTCTTGTTTCAGAAAATGACCGCAACTACCAAACGTTACACAGAAACTGGAAGAGAGTAAACACATGGTTTCCTTAACTGATTTAGAACTTATAGAGAAGATTATAAAATGGAACAAAAGTCAGCAAATAGAATCAGAAATTTATATAGAAAGCGCACTAGAAGAAAAATACAATATTACAAAAAGCATCTACAAAATAGTAACAGGCGTAGATGAGAATAAGTTGACAAATACGAGAAAGGCTTGCAACAATTCTAGTAGTTATACAAATATAACTGACCTAAGTGGTGTTTGTGATGAGAAAAAATATGATAGTGTTGAAGTTGCAGTAGTGATAATATTCTTTTTATTAATTATAGTGACTGTTATTGGCAACACATTAATCATATCTGCAGTGGTCACAACTAAGAGACTAAGAACGGTTACCAATTGTTTTGTGACTAGTTTGGCTGTTGCTGATTTATTAGTTGGAATATTTGTAATGCCGCCAGCTATCGCAGTCCATATAAGAGGTAAGCTGTGTATAAAATAAACAACAGTCACATTTTACTTTGATCAAAATATTGAAACATAATGGTACGAATAAATCTTTAATCAAAAAGATTAATTCATTATATTTATAAATCAATTAATTTTACGGTGCACAGTGAGTTGAAATCATATTTAAGTCACGCTCATGCGGGATTTAACTAGCCGATTATTGTACGGAATATTTTACTTATATATTTCTATATTTTACTTATTTATATTAAAATATAATAAGTTATTACGTTAATTTATTACGTTATTATAAACAATAAATGAATTAATGCAATAGTAGTTGTAGGTTGACGCGACCTCTAAAACGAATCAAGTGACAGGTCAGTCAATGTATGGAAAGTGGGCATACTTCTTTATAATAACATAACAAACATAACATAAACACTTACGCCTGTCACCCAGAGGGGTAGGCGGAGACTACAGGCTTCCATTTAGCACGATCCTGACATACCTCTCTCGCCTCTTCCACATCCATACACCTCGTCGCACACATGCTCGTCGATTAAGGGTACTCTAAATTTGGCCCATTTTTAATATATCGCCAATTTGGTCGACAAACTTTCGCCTAGGGTGTCCCTTTCCGACTCTTCCTTTCACTTTTGCAACATATATTTTTGCTTTGTCATTTTTATAATTATTAAAAAAAATTAAATATTTATTGAAACATAAGGATAAATACAGAACAATAGAACTTTAATTATTAGTACCATATATTATATATGCCATTATTTGTTGTAAAGTAACATCTATTAGAATACTTTGAATTACAATCAAAACATTAAATCATTTGGTCAAGAAATATAAAAAATACTTGACATAAAGTTATTGAATTTTTTTTACATTTTTAGCTTGAACTGTATTTTTTAAAGTGTTTAAAAACGTTAAAGTTATTAAAAACACATTAAATATTTTATAAACAACAAATTACAATTACTGAAAAATAAAGACGAGAGAGAAGTTATTTATTTAGTTCTACATATATTTAGTTATATATTTTAATGTTTACCTAATTTATTACATATTACATTCATTTAACAATCGAGTTTTCTTAACCTTGTTCTAATATGATTCTATTAAAAATTAAAATAAACTTTCTATAAAAAAAGTTCGATAACTAGTCACTTTAAATCATTAATTTGCTATTCACCTTACCCAATTTTATATGTAAACTTATTATTTAACACTCTTTGCATTGCCAAAAGGTGTAGAAGAGACGAGTAAATCGATTGAAAGATTGAAGATTTATTGAACTATTGCGTAATGTATTATTGCTAGATTGCCAGAGCTTATGAACGATCCTTTTGTAAACTACTCGTAATCTTAAAACTCAAATTTAAACTGTTGCGTCATTTATTCCTAGTAGTACAAGTCTCCTTCTCAAAGTAATACCTTTACTATTTACCGATAACACAAGTCGAATTTTTTTTTAAATCATTGCATTCAATTTGATTTGAATGATATAATGTTACTTGTTTCAAGGCAAATGGGAGCTTGGCTGGATTCTTTGTGACATTTGGATCAGCTTGGACATACTTCTCTGTACCGCATCTATCTTATCCTTGTGTGCAATCAGCGTGGACCGATATTTAGCTGTGACTCGACCATTGACGTATTCCAGAAGACGAAGATCTAAGAAGCTCGCACTGACAATGATATTTTGTGTGTGGCTATCGGCTGGAGCTATCACGTGTCCTCCAATGTTTGGATGGTTTGTAACAACATTATTAATTTAAATTTAACGCTACTGTGTTTCATATGATTAGTGTAGTGAACCGGACAGCCTTTTTACTGGAAACGAGGCACTCCATCTTATTATTTACAGGAGATAAAGCATTTGCATTCTGATTTGTAATTGAGTGTACACGTAGATGTCTACGGGCTATAGCAACCACTTACCACCAGGTGGACTGTGTCTCGTTTGTTACTTTTATTTTTAACAAAGTAATATTGCTATCACATTACTATAAAAAAGAAAGTCTTTTATCAATTGGATAAAGTGTTTATCTAATAGTTTGTCCATTTTGTAATAAATGAAGACGTCTTTAAAGCTTTAGGGACCATTGCCTTCGCATTAACGAAATACAGTATTGCACTTCATGTATCTTTGAAATATATTTTCTTTCTCAGATATGCATGTAGGCTAATTTATGTATTGAATTTTCGATTTTTTTCCGTTGATATTGGCGTTAATCACGTCTCAAAAATTAAACTTCTTTCCGTATAAGTTGAGACGAAGTTTGAGGCTCGACATAATACAATCATAGCGTGGCTCTACGGCGTGTATAACAGAATGCGTCAAGCATTATCAAAACTGGAAAAGGCTTGTATGAATTTAGTAGAGTTAAGCTGTAACTTTATTATGGCTGCAGCATGTATTGGTTGGCTCAACTAGGGATAGACCACGGTCTCATAAAATACCGGCGTTAAATAGCAAGTTAATAAATACTACTTTAATTCGTATGGTTACCGCACCGGAGACCCTTTGTGGGTCTTAGTGTGGAATCCTACACTTGATTATAGAATATGAAAGGTATGTAAAGTTGTTATAATATTATATTAGAATGATAAAGAAAACGACCCATTTATTTAAAACGACTTTAATGTACTGATCGACGACTATTGCGCCTAAAAAGTGCAGAGGCATCAAATTATTTTTTAATGAACATACTGTATAGTAAACTGTGAAATATGTCCGTTTCAATGCACCTTTTTACCGGTAACGTGGCATTTCCTCCAAGATCTCGGGGATGACAACGTAGGTATCTATCGAGAACAGTATCTACTTACTATGAGAGGGACTGTGTGATCGTTCGTCAATATTACAAATAAAGAGTCAATAAATCCAGAGATAAATTGGCTGATAAAGTTTAATTAATAAAGTAGTAATATTTCTTTCTTTTCATTTCATTGTACTTTAATTTGCTCTGTGTTATTTTATTTTTTAACTAGAACTTGGTTTGTACGGATATTAATAATTTGATCGACAGGTATGAACCAGAACATAATCAAGGAGGTATGTGCCGGTATAATCAAAATCCTGGCTACGTTGTTTTTTCGGCTATGGGCTCCTTCTTTTTGCCTATGATTGTTATGGTCTACGTATACGCAAGAATATCTTGCGTGGTGGCAAGAAGGCATCAGCAACTGGCTAGCACTAACTCTAAATGTAGTAAGGTAAGGGGAAGATTACTAACAAGTAAGATTATTATAGAAATTCGAAAATACGAAACGTAAAATACCAGCTTAATGCTGCTGTGTATCTAATATGATGAGTGTAGAAAACCGGATACCCTTTTGAATGGAAACGAGGAATTTTATCTTAGTCCTCAGCGGTGAGAACGCACCTGCATTTCGATTCTTAATTGAGGATAAAAAAATGTAGATGTCTGGGATACAGAATTCACTTAACATTAGGTTCACTGTGTGCACCTACCCTAATTCTATAACAATAATTCAAAACTAATAAAAAAATAACTATAGTTTACGAAATAAGTGTAACTTACATTAAGGTCGATTTAATAAAATACATAAAAGAGTTTTATATGTGTAAATTAATACATTAAATAGTTTTAAATAGGATTTTTACCTTAAAATTTGTTCCAGAAAAGAAAGCTGTCGTGTGTTAGAACCGAATCAGATTCGGGGTCAGATAAGTTAACCCTTCGTCAAAGTGTATCGAAGCAACCATCCAGAAATTCAACTCAGCAAAGTGAGTGTTCTTCTCAAGGTGATCCGAAATGTCCATGTTGTTTTCATGCCGCTAAAAAAAGCAGACAAACGAAAAATTACAGAGTATGCAAAGAAAAAGAGTCAAAATTTTGTCACGAAGTAACATTTAAGGCTAATTTTAAGTATAAGAATACCGGACGTCTAAGAACGCATTCGATGAAAGAAAATATTGAAAATAATAGAGTATCTTCTTTGAAGAGAGAAACGAAAACCGCTCAGACGTTAAGTCTCGTAGTTGGCGGGTTTGTCGCCTGTTGGTTACCATTTTTCCTATATTATCTTCTAACGCCATTTTTATCTATTGAGTATGTAAATCCTGTATTGATGTACATATTAATGTGGCTTGGATGGTTTAATTCCGCGATCAATCCATTTATTTATGCGTTCTACTCCCCGGATTTTAGGCTAGCTTTTTGGAGACTTACGATTAAAAAGTGTAAAAGAAGTAAACGTTGAACCACCAAAATTGTAAAATTTTAACGCAAACGCAAACAGAATTTGTGATAAAAATAAACCTTTTTTTATTAATGTGGATCCATTGATTAGTTTAGTTATAGGTAATGTTTGAAATAAATTGTGTTAGTTCATTCAATAAGATCATTTCTGAAATAAAATTGTGGAATACATTAAATTTTTACGAAGGTATACATACGGCTCCCCTGCCGCTTTGAAGTTTTGGTTTTCCCTTCAATATTGACGCTCTACGACGAAGTTGTGATACCTGAGGCAAACATTTATTTTGTCAGTCGCAGTAGGTGAATGAACTATTGATACATAAAAAATCAATGTTTAAGATAGATAAGTTTTGTTTTAAAATAAGTAACTTAAAAAGGAATTAAAAGTTGGAAACCCTCGTATTTTATATACAAGAATTTATTCCATATGTATATAGATTACCCTATTGTAAGTTGTTACTAATAATCTCTGTCTTTAGTAGTATAAGTGTAGTTTCAGAAAAATTGCGCAAGCAAACATACAGAGGAGACTTCCTTTCTTCAACAAAAGTTAAATAAAAGTGTAATTTGACATAATTCGTAGGTATTATGTATATTGAGGGAACAGCTCATGTCCCGTACTCTGAAGAAGTACTTCATTAAAAGTCGGAAACATAATTTTGTCAACGTGAATAAATAATACGGAACACTAAAAACTCCAACATTATGAAAAGATATCGTGAAATCGCCAATTTTATGTATCTTTTGTTACATTATTATACCATTAAAATTGCCACCAATATCATATATCATAGCTATATTATTGTTATATCACGTATAGGTCGGCTCGAGGAAAAGGATTGAGGAAGGATCATGCTCTTACAGAATACCATCGTAAAATAGCAGTTTAATCCTGCTGAGTTTCGTGTGGTGAGTGCACAGAATCGAAGACTCTTTTCAATTGAAACCAGGCATTCTATGTTAGTCCTCAGGGGTGACAACACATCTGAATTTTGATATTTAATCGAGGATATATGTAGATGTCTATGGGGCACAGCGTCCACTTGCAATCACGTGGGCTGTGTGCTCGTCTCGTTTGTCATTTTTATTCTATAAAAATTTGCTATATATATATATTGGCCAACTATTTTTTTATAAAAGGTTAGTGTGTGGTGGATAGCCACTAGAACATGTGCTGGTCATTACGTTTTTATACTAAGGGTAAAAATTAAGGATACAGGCATACAAAAGCATAAGTTTATCTTGTACGCTATTTGTTACGCTAAGACAGTGCGATCTACCATCTAGGCCTTCATCACTACTTACCACCAGGTAAATAAAAACCACCAGGTATGTAAAAAAAAAACTTTGAACTCGTCGCTGCACTTATTATCGCTATTGTGTATTTTTAGACAGCCACAGATTTTATTATTTTAATTTAATGTCTCAAATTTACCATTTCTATATCATAGAGTCATTACATTAAACGAAAAAAAACTTCACCAAGTTTTGTATGTATTGTAGATATCATTCTACTTTCTTTTTTATATATAGAATATTCATTACCAGTAATGTATACGTACCATAGTCAATTAGGACTGCGGATTTTGTGATAATGAAATGTAAATAAGGAGAATAATAAATATGAAATAAATGATTGAAATTAAATGTTATTTTTATTCACGCTATCTTTTGGCGGGATTTTTTTTTCTTTTTCAGTATTAAAGTGACAAATTGCAGTCTACTTGATTTATAAATGTGAAACACCTCTAATATTCTTAAGAAATTCCTAGTTGAGGGTGAATTTTAAAAATATTTTCTTTGGCCCCAAACACATAAATGAGCATTCAATATTGCAACTGACAAAGAATCATGCCCAATCTTTGACCTGAAAGTTTTCTAACGCGTCTAGTGATGTAAAATATTTTATAAAATTGCCTTTATTTTCCTTATTTCGTAAATTTGTTTCTTGCCAACTTCAAAAGTTGGTATAAGAGACTGTCTACGTCTATGGTCTTAACTTTTCTGAAAAAATATAATACTTGTACATATTAGAAACATTGTTTGCCTTATACTAACACATTGTTTTAATTCAATCATTTTTTACAGCATATTAAGATACCATTATCGCTATACCACCTGCCAAGCGGTAACTATTGCGAATATGTCGGCACCATATGTTTTTTAATTATTTTTAGTGTATCTATCTTTATTATTATGAAGATATATCCGTAAAAACCTACTGCTGGAAATAATGCTGAAAAATGCTTTCTCTACCGTTGTGTGGAGTCTCTGAGTTGTTATCAGGAAAATGTTGCTGTCCATCTCCTAATTCAGTTTCCCTCTGCCGCACCTCACAACACTCACGCCATAATTTGGGATAGTGGATATTCTTATACCACCACAACTCGGTTAGGCGTCGGGTTTTACATGTTATTATAAGTTTTTTTTTCAATATTCTTTGATCAAATTTCGATTACGTCTAGTAATAGAAATGTATGAAAGAATATTGAATAAGCAAGATGGCAACCAGATATTTTAGCCGACTTCAAAAAATAGGATGTTCTCAATTCGACTGTACTTTTTTACGTACCTAATAGATCAGAGAAAAGGTTTCTTAGTATTCTGTTTATATAAAATTAAAGAAAAATCTCTTTAGATGTACTGCTTGTATCTGGCTGGTTTTAATATCATTTAATAAAATTAAAAAAAGTAGAAAACACTTTCCCACCATTTTTCAATTGTTTTTCTGTCCGTTAAAATGAATGAATCTAACAAATAAATGTCGATACATTCAGAAGTTTTATTATAAAAAAAAGGAAAAAATACAACTGAAGCCGCGAAAAAACTTTGTGACGTTTATAAACATAATGCAGTATCATAAGAGGAGCGCAAATATGGTTCATGCGTTTTCGGTCCTGCAATTTTGATGTCAAAGACAGACAGCTCCCTCTGATCGCCCTCATACGGATAAAGTGTGTGCTCCGCTATACATCGTGACCACTGTAAGGTGTGACATCAATTGAGTATACTGTGGAGCCGTGATTTTTTAATTTTTTATACTGGTTACTGCTTAAAACGGAACGCAGTCCAGCACACAGTTAAGATGATCCTTTTTAATCATTGGTGGTCTTTATAAATATTGGAGAAAAATATCCACCCGTAAGTACGGAAACATATGGAATCAAATGTTTTGTGAAACTTTTACATTCTATTTGCTAAATTAAGCTTGTGATATTCATTAGTCCACTCAAAAAGCTCAAAAAATAAGAACTTAAATAAAAATTAAAACCATTTCCAAATACAAGCAATGATATGAAAATAGTAGTATAGAGTACCTACTAAAGTAAAATTAAAGCTCTGACTTAAGTAGCTATCAGTGCATTTTCTTATTATTTTTAATTCTGTGAAGTCGGTTTTCATTTTGTTCAAAGTTTAATTATTTAAATTTATGGCGGATCTGAATGAGCTATTGTAGCTCAGGGGATTAGAGTTAACAATAAATTTTTACAATACGCTCAAGCCAATCTAATCTCATAACCCGTCGCCACAATAAACTGTATGAAAAATAGTATAAATTCGAAGTCATGTCTTATCAACCAGTACATACTGAGGTTGCGCTGTAGAGATTTATATCCTAAAATACTTCCTTAGAATAAGAAGAGTTGTGTGCTCAGCGGGTCGGATACAGGTTCTTACTTTACTAACAGTGCTATTGCACTCACCGTGCCAAGTAAGAAATCGGAAAACATTTGTAGTACAGATCTAAGTTGTGTTAAATACTAGAAAGAAAAGAAAGAAAGAAAGATTTATTGCAGCACGCACGCACTCACTCACGCACAAACATCAGTAGGCACTTAAATTTTAACATTTGTGGACACATCAATTATAAAAACTATAAACAACACAAAAAAAATTAGGAAACAAAACAACAATTTGACGGATGAAATAATTTAAATGCATTTATACTTATAGATTATAATTTAAAAAAAATAGAAAGACCAAAAATCGTTTCTCATACTGTACGAGTATGTTGTGGCTCGTCATACAAACGGACGACTACTAGATTATATCATATACATCGATATGACACGAATAGTCGAACAATTTCCATAGCATTAATGACTTTATTAATCATAAGACGTACTGTGTAAAAACAAAAACTTTTGCAAGCTATATACGGTAGCTAAACGAGCTTTTCGATTGCATAACCAACCTTTTTAAATATTTTTCATACCATGTTTAATGCAAATATTATTTTACTATTACATGCCTATATATTACTAATAATATGAGATATTTCTATTCTTTTACTACCTCTTTGGAATACTTATAAATACTTATAAATACATTCGGCCAGGCCAGTAGACGGACACTAGCCATCTGCGAATGACAATAGTGCCCAAGTGTATGCGCAAGCACAGGTGCACTCTCTATTCCCTTCACTCTCATAGACCGATGGGACGGTAAACCGACACGACAGGAGCGAAAAACGTGCAGGACCAACGGCTTTACGTGCTTTCAGAGGCACGAGTTTAAAACACCGCCATCTTCCTAATAACTCCTGGCAGCTTCTGAGAATTTCTTGTCAAAAAAAATTCCAATAATTTATTTTTGCCTCACCTGGGATGCAAACCTGGAGCCGTACGATCAACAATCGCGTTTGCAAACACTAGACTACGAGGTTATTAACCTAAATAAAATATAACGAAAAAAAAAACTGATGATGTGCTATTACCACATTGACAAGGGACTTAGAATTACGACATGTTTTAAATCATGAAAATGGAGAAGAACTAACAGAGGTCAGGAGCAATAATACTCAATAAAGGTTCCTGAGCAATTTATTATACCGAACTAGTAAATAATTGAGGAAAAAAAGGAAATAAATTACGTTGTACGAAGCGGCGGAAACACCCCCAAAATATGGTTCTGATCATATAATGTAGTGATCAGAAATATGAAATATGAGAGACAAGAAATTTACGAGTATTAAGTTCTATTTCAGAATTTATTAGTAGAATCAGGCGTTACTTTGTGGAAATCAATTACATTTGTTTAAGGGACATAAGCGGGACATAATGTCAGATATAATAGAAGATATTGCATAAGGTAAAAAGATATTTGGTATAATTTTTCATCGACTCCGCACTAGATGGAGTTGCGACCTGGTAAGACGTGCAGGAATTCGATGTATAAATTGGTACAGGTTATGCATATTTAGGCAAGTGAAAAGCTGTAATGATGACTAAGAAATGATATCGATATGCTGATGCTATTTTAAACCTGTGTTCTGTTAGAACGTGGTTCTTCGTTCTTCGATGTTAGTACTTAAACTGGAGTTAAAAGAGATATAAAAAATATAGATTTCGAAATTGTAGAATTACAATGGGATAAACAATGAAAATGTGTAGGGCGTCCCTCCACTAGATGAAGTGACGACCTGGTAAGGCATGCAGAAAGTCGACGGATGCAGGTGGCTCAGTACCGTGCTTTGTGACAATCCTTGAGAGATACCTATGCTTAGCAGTGGGCTTGTGATGAGGCTGAACACAGACTGAACTTTATTTGTATTTAATTATGACTTTTTTTGTAACCTGTGAATCACAATTATACTATTTGATTTGATATGATTTGATTTGAAAGTAAGGCAGCTAACTTAA